GGGGGGGGGGGGGGGGGGGGGGGGGGGGGGGGGGGGGGGGGGGGGGGGGGGGGGGGGGGGGGGGGGGGGGGGGGGGGGGGGGGGTGGAGGAACCCTTACTGCGTGACCCGGATTAGAGATCTCCCCGGGGGCTTATATCACGAACGATGATTAATGATCTGTGTTGACACTGCTGAGTGTTGCTTTCACAAGAGGGGGCAGGCGTCGCGGACAGGGCGGGGGGGGGGGCGGGGGGCTTTGAGAGAGGGATCCTTGCTGCGTGACCCTGGATCAGAGAGCTCCCCGGCAGCTTGTATCATGAACGATGAATAATGACGTGGGGATGCCGAGACCAATATGGTGCCGTGAATGCAAGTACCAGACAAGAGTTACGTTACATGCAGACGCAATGTTTTGATCACCTTCCCGTTCGAAAAATATATATGTTTATATGATCAGAGCACGTCACCATCGATTGAATTTTCCGCATGACCGGTGTCGCCACTGATTGGTGGAAACTCCCATATGTCGTAGATCCGTGACGACACTGAAAACGTCTAGTATGGTGTACACTTTTCTCCGTTACTCCAGGTGGGACTGGAAGATGGCGTGGAGATCATGAAGATGCTCTCAGCCGCGGCGACCGCGGGGGTCGACGAAGAGGCCCACATGCAGGTAAGGTGGTGGAAGAGCACTCGTTCTTGAGAGTGCTGACTGATGGTGTTTTTGGCTTCTCGGGGTGTTCTGATTTGCCCGCCCTTCCGAGGTCAGCTCGGGTCGGAGACCTTTGGAGATTTGGTCGGAACGAATAGATTCAGTCGAAACACTACTTCTTCTAGGTTCGCGAAAAGAGTGAATGGCAGCACGTTGCATTGCCTACTGTGGGTAGGTGAGTGACAAGAAGACGGGTGGGAGTAGGCCTTGAATTACGTGTTAGCGACACCTGGCTAGTTTTCTGTCAACGCTTGAACGAGCTGATCGTCGGGGCCGTATGATGGCCGGCCTCTATGTAAGAGGGTGGCTCGCGTGGGAGTCAGCCCATTATGGAACCAGTTAAGACAACGCCTCCTGTTAAGCGTATCCTTTTTGAGAACATGGTTGGGGAACATGTGGTCCGTGTTGCGTTAATATCACATGGCAACCGGTCGTTATCCGACCCTACGCGCCAGCAAAGCTGTCGGTTATGGAAAAAATAGATAATGGTGACGTCCGTACCATCATAGTACGCGCCCAGATAAAAGGAAGAACCAAAGCAGCGCGTGTGGTTGCTGTTGTTGACGGCAGTGCATCTCCCTATTGTCTACATATACGCCGCCAGTATATTGTTGGACGTATTAACATCCTCAGTGTTGTAGGTTTTCTTTTGGTGGGGGGATTCAAACACGGCGGCACGACAGACGACAAAACGCACTTTCGGCGATAATCCCGAGGGGTTGACGAAATGAATGCGCCGATGTGCGTGCTGTCCAGACTTCCGAAGTTTCTCTCTCTGCATCTCAACGCGTCATCTCACTCTCTTTGGTTGCCTGTTGTTCGATTTGCCTGTTGGTGCTGCTGTTGCGCGCTGTTCACAGCATGCTGATCAGCCACATTCTCATCCCCCCCGCCCCCAGAGCCTTTGAGGGCTTCGTGGCCAGCGTATGCTCTGTGATTCACTCGTCACCTGCAGCACCCAACACACACACGCACCCACCCCCCCACCCCGGCGCGCGCGCCCGCCCATATGGTTTGCACTTTGTGACATACGTTTACGCACATCTCTTGTTTCCTTTTCGCGTTGTCGTGTTCGTGGCATAAGTGCTTATTGGTCGTTAGTGACACCAGACAGCAGGCTGTCGTGCTGAGTCGTTCATACCTCTCCAATTCTTCAGCAACACGATTGCCCAACGTTCGGGGGATCAATGCCGGCAACTATTTGCTGACCAGAGAGCCTGCGATGTTCGTCAAGTTGACGATAGTGATCTCCTCGGCAATCACCCAAGCCTCTGTACAACGAATGGTACTTTACTTTTCAATATGCAGGGGGTTCTCGATGCGAGGACCATGCACGACAGCGTGTTCTCCAGGCTAATGGAAGAGCAGAAGCAGGGGCTGCGGGATAGCCGGGGCTCCTTGCTACCCGCCGCCGCCGGGTACAGCGGCAGCAGCGGTGGCGATGTTAGCGGCAGCCGGGATGCCTGTAGCGGCAGCGGCAGCCCAACACCCCCTCGCGAATCGTGGCGAAGCGCTGGTGGTGGTGATGATGCTAGTGGTGGTAGCGGTGATGGTACAGCTGCTGATTATCGCTTTCCCTCAGGAGACAACGGCAAGGGTGCGGGGAGGATTCCTGCTGCTGACACCTCGCTGCAAGATGCTGGTAGCAGTGGTGTCGGTAGTGGAGGCGCTGGTGCCGTCGGAGGAGGCCCTGGAGATGAAGCCAGGCCTATCGTCGACGGGCCGTCCGCCGCTGCGGCGGACGCGGGCACCGGTGCGATGCCGAGCAAAGGATGGGGGAGGGAGGGCCGTGCCCCCGTCGAGGAGGTAGTCGAAGAGGTGGAGGGGGAGACGAGCAGCGGCAGCAGCAACAGCAATGATAACGACAGCAGTAGTCACAACAGCGATAGCGACAGAGATAGCGGGAACAACCAGTTCTCCTTCCTCTCGTCGGGTTTCGACGAGGCCACCTTGGGAGGCATGCGACTTCCTCCTTTTTCCCTGCCAAGAGCTGCCGTCGGCGACGGCTACGTGCAGGTGTGTACGGTGTGTGAGCGTTGCTTTCGTGCGCTTCAGGTGTCCACAATGTCCTCTCATCGAGTGCTCCGCGCACTGTTGTGTGCTCGGGTTTTGATTTCGCTGCGAAAGTTGGTGGACGCCCGCTCCCTTATTCAACCGCAGCCAGCTTGTCGATGGACGCCTTCATGATATGTATTGGGGGGGCGCAAAGTGGTGATGATTCTAGCGAAATTCATTGATTCGTTCTGTGGCACTTTCAGAAGTGGTTCAGGACTTCCAGCAAGGTTTGATCCCAACCGTGTGTTGGCGCGGAAGCCAAAACGCACGGACGTGTGCATCGCGGCCAATAGCAGTTCGTCTTTGGAGAGATATACTATTCCCAAAACAACCACATGTGCTGCAGAACGTAGCCGAGTCTTCGACTATATCGAGCAGAAGGTCGCTGTTGTCCGAACTGGTACTGGTCACCCGATGTACTATCGCGCCGCCCCCTGTCTCCCCGGTGTTTACCATCGGGGTTGGGTTTTCGTCGCTTGGCAACGACGTTGTAAAACAAGCCGCCCCCCCCGGTGTTTGCCATCGGGATTGGGTTTCGTCGCTTGGCAACGACGTTGTAAATCAAGCCAACTCACTTCGTGAACTCGGCAACCAGGTTGCCGGTTTTTTTTTTTTTTCTCCGGTTTTTTTTTTT